CAAAAAAATCAGTTCTGAAGAAACGAGTTTGCAATCGAATTGTTAAAGTGCATAGCTCCAGTGGCTTCCTAATATCAAAAGGAAGAGTGTTCCAGGTGGCCGTATTTGTATTTTACCAGGTAAGGCCCATTTAATTATATATCTCTTTTTCAGAAGCGACCTGTCCCACAATTGATAGCTCAACGAAGTGACTTATCACGTGGAAATTTAGAGCAGCCGAAAAACCGGAGGGTCTGGGAGAACACTCCACATGACCACAAGGAGAACACACAAACTCCAAATATACAGCAGGCGTTAGGGGTCGGGATCGAACCCACCACCTCCTGCATACAAGGCGAGAGATTCAACATCTCGCCACCGCAGCAACTGCTAGCACAACGATAAGAAAGTGGGCAACTCCACAACCGCATCCACTGCATTGACATCGGATGCAGTTAGTTAGTTAATTAGTTAGCATGCTGAAGTAACATGTTATTTAATCTTGAATTTGCATCCATCGATTGATGGATGCAAAACAAAATTTTGGATGCACATTTTTTTGCAATCTTTGGAAGGACGTTGATCAACCAGGTAAAGTGTTCACTGTTGTGTTGGCCGACGCTCTGAGTTGCATTACATTTCTAAGTTTGCTAAGTTTGATCTTTTTTCTTTTTTTCTTTCTCTCTCACCTTGCTCCCTCTTTTAATTTCACCCCCACCCTCTCGCCCGTTACGGCAGCCCCTCCCCTCCCTGCCTCCCCCCCCCCTCGGATCGATATAATGCCCCGTCACAGCGGCTTGTTCCTCTCTTTCCCACCTGATGACGATTGCTTGTTGTTGCGATAGAAACGTCGTGATCTATTATTTATTTTTCTATCTACGCGCCTCTACCGAAAGAACCAAAGAGTATAATATGTTATTTGTTGATGAAATTTATTTGGTGATTTATTTACAATAATAATAATAAACTAAGATGTCACTCAAGTGTCCTGCCATACCTATGACAAGCTACATAATTTGGAGATAAACAACAGAACTTTACTCCTTTGTGTTCTATTGCAAGTGAGAGAATGGGTTAGCAAGCAGAGCTAAGGTGGACTGTCTGGCTTTACTATCGGTGTGCATCCTCACAATGGAACGCGAGCCCACAGGTCACTGTGACATTGCCCGTTTGTAAGGTTAACAGAGGACTGCCACATTGCGAGGAGCAGATTTGCCAAAAGTCGGTGTGCTTCTTGTTATTATTAGTATTGTAAATATGTGCGTCTAGGCGACGAAACTATACATCAGCAAGCCTCTTGATCTTTATGGGGAGAGATAAAACATTTGTTAAAATAAGCTCTTTATGTGTTGCTATTGAGAGTCATCGGGAATACAATACTTGCGGACGATTTTTATGTGCCGAGACAAACGGACATCTATTTATTTACCTCATTGCTCATAATGAGCCGGGGCAATAATTACAGTATTCAGTGTTTTGTTATATTGAACAGAGCTCCATTAGGTGACCCAGCAGTATTTGTTGAATAAGCTTGACTCTGCTGATGGGACCCAACATATTGATACCAGTTTTAGAATTTACTTATTTAAGCAAATTATGCTGGATTAACATTTCTATGGAAAGTTACAGTACTGAAACAAATATTTGACATCAGGATAGAGCAGAGGTTGCTTTATTGCATGTCAAACGTAACTCTCTACAGATAATGTGACCTTTAATCCACGAGTATATGATGCCAGCGGTGAGATGCTCCCGGCACGGTTTGGTTGAAACCAGATTTTTTTCCATTTGACTGAAGAACAGATCTAGACGAGGCCGGATCCCTCTCGTATGTATTTACACAATCCTGTGCAAAACTGGCCCGAGCAACCAAAAACCCCACCGAACAAACCATGGAATGCCTTCAAAGTGTGGGAGGGAGGTGGGGGAGCAATCCAGCAATGTCAAACATTGCATATTACATGCATTTTCTCTAGTAGATGTCAATACAATACCAATGATCAGAGGTCTTAACCAAAGGGGGTTAATTACCCCCACCTACGTCGCCCTCCCACAGTGGTTGCAGATTTACATCCAGAGAAAGCCATAACAACGCTAATCCACGATTTTTTTTGGATGCGCTCGTGTGAGCTGGATATAAGCACACCCCCACCGGGGGCAAGGCTGGGTCGTGTGCTTATATTCGAAATAGTGTGATTGTGTGGAACGTTGCCCTTTGCCTTTAGAGTGTAATGAAGTGTTGCTTATATGGGAACTGTGCTTGTTAATATTCTAAGGGTGGGCTTAACTGAAGATGTAAAACAACACATTACATTTTAAACCACCCATTTTTGCATACAGTGTAGGACAACTTCAACAACAAAAAATGTTTTGGTGACTGATTAACAATAATTAATTATATTAATTAAAATTACAGCCCTATGTCAAGATGCAACAGACAAAACAATCGTTGAATAGGCTTACAAACGTAGAACACACACATATATAATCTCATTGCTTTGTTAATCCCTTGTTGGATGAAGACCTCCCCTCACCTTGTCGGTCGTGTGGGCTATTTGACCATACTTCACCACGTTGGTCAGTGTGCTTTAGTGAGAGCAGAGGCGGCCCAGGACCCGTTCAACTATCACTCGCCACTGATACCAGCCATAGCTAGGAATTGAACTGAGCTGGGTTCAGAGTGCAGTGAGCTAATCACTGCGCCACCACTCCATTCGACTGTTCCATAAAATTATACACATTCATAATTAACACCCATACATGCTTTAACAGCACCAGGAAGTTCTGATAGGTTGTAAAATTAAATGTGTTTGTAAGTTTTATAAACTGTTGCAAATACCTAAGTCAGCTATTCAAGTACAGTATAACCTTTAATCTCACGTAAATGCTGTTAACCAGTGTATGAAGTCTAGTTACAGTGCACATAAACAAACGTAATAAATAATCTGAACATTGATGCACACTAAAATAAATAATAATTTATTGCCCTTGGTCAGTGCGCTGCTGGATGAAGCCCTCCCCACGCTGCCCCAGTCATGGGGGGTGTATTTAACCATACTTCACCACGCTGGTCAGTTGTGGGTTGGCCAAGCCTGGCGCAGGGCCAGAACCGATTGAGATATCACTTACCACCGATGTTAGCCACAGCCGGGAATTAAAACTCAAGTCACTGGGACAATAAGAACAGTGGCTAACCACTGCACCACCGCTTCCTCATATTGCACGCACGCACACGCACAGGACTATACTCTGCAGTACAGTATTCGGGTGCTTCCAGAAAAACTAACGGAGCATAGCGAAAACATATGCATTAAACACGGGGATAACATTGGCTCTTTTATATCTCGCATATTTGTTTCGTGTGTAAAAGCGACAAGAGACCCTACAAGCCCAAATGCCGGTGGTGATGAGTAGTGTTAAGTTTCGTGATGGGTTAGGCTGGGTCACGTGCTGTTATTCCATTACCGTGCAATTGGCCATGGTTCTCTTAATTGATCCAGTGGCACAATGGTTGGAACGCCATACTCAACAATTGGAAGGTCGCGAGTTCAAATGCCGATCAAGGGTCAACTCGCCTAATAATGCGTCATTGGTCGATAAAATCAGTACCACTTTGTGTGAGGTCAGTAACACGATGTGCGGAAAAGATTATCTCTTGCATGGGAATGTGAAATCTCCACCACTGGCTTGGGGCCATCAGTCGAGATGTCAGCAGCCACATGACTAAATCTGAGCAAAGAGATCATACGTTGACTTGTGGCTTTATTTTTGGAAAGAGCAGCTACAACCACGATGACCCGAGTTCGATTCCTGGCCACGTCTAACATCAGTGGCGAGTGATATCAGAACTGAACATGAGCCTCGCCGAGGTCGACTCATTAAAAAAATGAGTACCTGTGTGCCGCAGTGGTATCAGATCACCTGGAGCTTTAACCCTCACCTGGGCCCGAACCCGGGCATGCATCAGTGGTGAGTGTGACGCCCTTACCAAAGCCCCATCCCGCACAATTGTTTGATTGGTATTTTATTATTTGAATAAGTCATTGTCAACCCCGACCTCTGTGACATTTCAGTCCACAGGTCGGTCAGCCAATCAGTTCACTCAATTAATACTTATTTTATATCAATAGAGAATAACAACAAATTTGAGACAGCTATCATTTTCAATCTCTTTTCACAATCCTGTAATCGGAGCAATAAAAGTCATCTGTTTTCAATGTAATAACAAAATGCGAAGATATACGTTATTTTATTTACATATTGTCAAGTTAGAGCAATTTTAAATTAACCGTGGTCAGTTTTTTGTATTTCGTTACTCCCACCTCTTTGGTGGCGCTATTATTCGTCATCCGAACTTCTTCCGCCGTTTCAGTTCAACGCTTATCTCGTACACGGAAAATCCCGTTGAGCCAGTCTGTTCGGTGGCAACGGCCGGTAAGCCACGAACAATCGAGTTATTATTGGGGTGCAAAGTAGCCCCAGCCACCAGCCAGCCACGAAAGTCGAGGCACATTATTTTTAAATAGCAGTATGACACAGTGCAGTAAGTACATACACACAATGTTTGGTCAACCTCATCAATGGACTGCGGTCTCAAATAATGCGACCAGCTTCACTTAGTCTGAGCGTTCATTCAAACTCCGTTCATCGCTGTCTCGTCATAGTCAAGTCACGTGCGCTGTGTGCCCTCTGTTGAGTCGTCGTCACGCTCGGCGATTCTCGTCCACTCTCAGTCATCGTTGACCAAGATAACATTGCACAGTGCTAACGAAACTAAACCTATTGTTCTTACGAGGTAAAGCCCACTGAGCTACATAGCTCTTTTTCAGAAGTGAGCTGGCCGCAAACGATAGCCCAATGAAGTTGCTTTATCACGCGGTCACATGTAGCAGCCAAATACTTCAAAAAAAGCACGTGTTTAAATCCACCAAATATACAGGCGTCAGTGTCGGGCAGCGAACAACACGACCTCATGTATACCAACTGAGGTCGTTAGCGTCTCGCCACCGCAGGGAACTCACTCAGTCTGGGCTGTGAGATGTAATTCCTCGTCACGGCCTGCACGTGCTCCCTGGCCGCAGCGGCGGCTCCATTCCCCGCGAGCCTCGCCTCGTGCTTGCCCGGCATGGTGAAGTGACGACCACGTTGCTGACGATGACGGCGATGATGAAGACGACGGTCAAGATGATGACGACCAACGGCGCGCCGACGATACCTCTACAACAGCGACGCGCCGACGCTATGAAGGGGTTAGAAAGGAAATGTGGCGGTGAGAATGAACTGGACTGGGCCACGAGACGTCGACAAGAAGGAAAAAAAAGGGGAGGAGGGGGGTCGTGTGCGGTTAGGCGATCTTCAACCTCTGCGGACTTGCCTAATATACCTGCCACGGAACCAGACGCGTCTACCTTGAGCCAGTCCTCAAGCCCTGGCTGAGCTCACTCGCTCGCCCACCCACTCGTTGTACCGTGAGCCCGACCCCCACTCCCCTCTCACCATCAGCCGTCGGTCATGTGCGCAGTAAACACGAGTTAAACATTGCCCCACGCCTGGCTCAGAACTATAAACACCGCCGTGTCTCTTGAGCCACCACTCTGGCCGGGCGAAACTGGCAGCGAGAGATACCAATCAGTCAAACATCCATTCGCTTCAGCGCTGCTGCTGCAGCTGTTGCTGGAGAGCAGATTGCCTATCGGGTTGTAGTGCGTGTGTCTTTGTTTCGCCAGTGACAATTATCGGAACCGTCGTGGGCCTCTCCTAGGCCGACTCAGCCTCAAATGAGTACCCGGTGCGATGTGTGTGTAAACATCACCGCTGGGGAGACAAAGGCGGCCGGGCGTGGTGCTGGCCACTCACTCCCTCGTGTGCCGTGTCGGCCTTTATAGGTGCTGCTCGATAACAGAGCACTTGCCCCAGCAGCCTGTTTAGGCGACACGGGGGGATCTTTGTTTCGTGTCAACAGTGGCTCAGTGGTGACGCACAGGTGACGTGTATCTACCTCTGTGCCATCTCAAGCCAGTTCATCCACAACAGCTGCATGGGTCTGTCCCGTGACCTGCCAGCGAGCCTTCAAGCGACGCTTAATGTGGTCTCGAAATGCACCTAGCCTGGCACAAACGCTGTAGTGACGTCGTCGACGCATTTTGCCGAATGGCGGCTGTTGCGGGTAAACGTCGCCGATCGTGGAGACAAAGGCGGTCGGGCGGTGTGTCCTGGCCACACCACCCACGCAAGTGCGAAGTGACGGCCTTAATAGGTGCTCGCAAATAACACTTGCCCTGACAGTCTATACTGGGGGGGGGGGATAGGACTTTGTCTTTTCTTGGTTGTGTGTAAGTCATTAGTCACGTGTGTCATTCCGTGCTGGGGTGGAGCGGTGGCGCAGCGCTTAGCGCACCCTGCTCTATGAACGTGGTGCCCTGAGTTTGATTCCCGTCGGCGCTGTGAGGTTACCCTGAGCGCCTGCGTGTCAATTAATGGGCGCCACGGTGGTGAGATGTTAACTACCTCGCCTGGTATACAGGAGGTCGTGGGTTCGATCCCGACCCTGGCGCACATTTAGAAACATGAGTTTTGAGTATTTGGCTGCTATACATTTCCACATGATAAGCCACTTCGTTGAGCTATCGTGTGTGGCCAGGTCGCTTCTGATAAAGAGCTACATAGCTCAGTGGGCCTTACCTGGTAAAGTAAAAATACAAAGTTAATAATAATTTAACAAGTAAGTTACGGAACAGAAATCGAGAGAATAACGATTTCGATTCCATGATAAACCTCATCCTTGATCTCATACGCCAACCCATCATGCATGCTTAATCCACAAGCCTCATTATTTCGCACCACATCGCCAAGGCTGTCTGGCTTGAGTGGAGAGTGATATGTGAACCGGTCTCTACAAGCCCAGATACCCTCAACCCCAACCCCGCAACTTCACCAACCGGCACTGACCAGCGTGGCGAAGTATGGTCAAACAACCTTTTACAGCTGATAACGCGTCCAGCAATTAAACTCGTTTTTTTTGTAATGAACATTCGGCGGAAACATCCGTTTTGAGAACAATAACTGCTCCAGAAATAATGACTCTTACACGCATATATATTGCACGTCTTTCTCAATCATTGCGCCATAAATAAAACAACAACAAACACCTGAGGAAGGCTACTTGTGTTGTGGCCGAAACGTCGTGAGAATTTTATTGTATTATGTTTTATTTTTATCACGTGACTTTACCGAAAGAACCAAGAAGATGAATCCCTGCAGTCACGAACGCTTTAAATCGAAACACCAATAAGTCCAGATATTCAGCGGGGCATTTTTTCAAACGACAGTACTGTATTTCTAGTTATATACAAGCATACTGTCTATATATACGGTACAAGGTGGTCCATATGTCCTGTGACTCCCATTTAATGCTCTAAAACGTAATATTTTTCAACGGTAAGGTTTATGTAAAACATTTAATATGCAAAGGGACAAAAAATTGTTGGGGGTCAATTAATCGGGGTGGTCACAAGACATTTGGACCACGCTGAACATGAGTTCGATTCCGGGCCACGGTTAGCATCAGTGGCAGGTAAAAGGCACCTGAACTACTGCAGGACCAGCTACCATGCTCGCTCCAACCTGCGCGGACTAGCGTGGTGAAGTATGGTCAAACAACCTCTATGGTGTGGGGAGACTTCATCCAGCAGTGGATTGTCACAGGACTGCAAATTAAATTATTACAGTGTGTGTGTGTATATATACATAGCTGGAAACCAAGCGTATGGCGGATCAAAGATAAACCTAACCAGTTCATCTTCTTTGGTTCTTTCGGTAAAGTTACGTAGAATGAGAACAAAATAATAAAATAAAATAAGATACAATTCTCACGACGTTTCGGCTACAACACAAGCAGCCTTCATCATTTTATTATTTTATTCTCATTTTACGTGATTTTACCGAAAGAATCAAAGAAGATGAATCCTTGCCGTCACGAAAGCTTTAAATCGAAACCTAACCGGTTGTTCTGCTTCTCAGTCAGACTTCGATCGGATCAGTTACAAATATATTAGCAGACGAGAATCTGTTAAACCACTGAATAAATACAATAACACTGATGTCGTTCGGCCGATGGGTGCTTTCCCTCGAATACAACGCGTAACGAATCTTGTACAACCTTGCTGTACTGCCCTGAACGGGTCCCGTTGTGTTTTGCAGGATGTCCATTAAATTATCCAAATGAGCAGGGAACTGTTTGACAGGCCACACAGCCTGCTGATGAGACTCAGAAACCGGTAACCGGTTCAGAGTTTTCTGCTTGAAAATCGTGCCGCTTTATTTTTCTGGCGGTTAGGGGCCGTCCATAAATGACGTCACGCGATTTTGGACGATTTTTGACCCCCCCCCGCCTCGTCACACGGCGTCACAAAAAGTCAGACCCCCCCCTCAAATATGACGTCACAAAGCTCTGCCCCCCCCCCCCCAAATAAAAAAAATATTGAAATCGCTTTAAACTATTGTCATTGTAGTGCGTATTTAATATGGCGCTGCACTCTGATGTTGTAGGAGAAAACATTAAAAAGTCTATTTAATCAAGTAGAACGTGTTGTCTATATTTATTTAAAGTTGCGTATTTTGATGTGACGTCACATTTCTCAACCCCCCCCCCCCCCTCGTCACACATCGTCACAAATGTCTGACCCCCCCCCCCACCCCAGGTGCGTGACGTCATTTATGGACGCCCCTCATTGCATTATTTATTTAGCACAATTAGCGGTGTGGTGGTGCGGCGACTAACGCACTGCATTACGAAAACGAGCAACGGTGATACCTGAACCGCTTCAGAGCCACCGCCCCCTCCCCCCCACGCGTTACCAACCCCAAATCGACCATCGTGGTGAAGTATGTTCAAACAACACCCGACTTAGATGACGTGGGATCACATTCATCAAGCAGTGGATGTACAAAGCGCCGTACAATATAACCACATCTTCTTGGTTCTTTCGGTAAAGTCACGTAGAATGGAAATAAAATAATACAAAGAAAACATAATAAAATAAAATTCTCACGACGTTTCGGCCACAACACAAGTAGCCTTCTTCAGGTGAAGGAACAGAACTGTCGGGACGACAGTGCTTCAATGAACACTGCTAAGCTTCGCAGCGTCTTTTAAGCTGGGTGGGAGGAGCAGAGCGCCTTGACAAAGGAGTTTACATATCAACAGAATAATTTAGCATTGAAGTAGCTGTGTTAATGTGATATATTAGCAGGGTGTTAAAGTCAGAAATTAGCATGTAACTGGGAGATTAGCATGATGCTAGTGTGAGGGATTAGCATGTAACTGGTCACGGAAGTAGCTATGTTAAAGTCAGAGTTTACATATCAATAGAGGAATTTAGTATATTGACACTAAAGAACTGCAACTACCCAACTATCATACAATAAGCCGATGAGAAAGAACTGAGTATAAACTACGTCAATACAATAAATGTACTCAATATATTCTTCAATAAGCTGAGCTATTAACATAAAGTAACTGGGTATACACTACACTATATAATGAATACCATATAGTAAACTGAAAAAAACTAAAATATAAACTACATCAATGTTATCAATAAACTTAATGTACTCTCCAATCAGCTGAGCTACTAACAATAAGTCGTTACACATTACAATTCTATGTCGAAAAAAGTGGCGGTTTCTTTTTTTCTTTTCAACGTTAGCACCACAGAAAGCGACGAGCTTTGTTCAGACGGACGAGTCCATCTATGCTCGGAACGGAGGAGGGAGGAGAGAGAAACAGCCACGATGCGCTGCTCTGTCCTGTGTTGCGTTACAACGATGCCATACACTAGACGACCATACATTACAATGTTATACCGTCCAATCTAAACTACATTGTGTAATATCGTATACACAGCCCAATGTAAGCTCTAACAGTATGCATTACATTGATATGTCTCCAACTAAACTTTTTTCTACATTACACGACTATACACCGTAATATACACTGCCATAGACAAACCCCACCCTTGAATTATACAATGCGTTACTATACACTACCCTATACTTTAGACTATAAAATATTAGACTTGTACTATTACACTATGTATTATTCTACCAACCCTACTGTACAGTGAGGGAAATAAGTATTTGATCCCCTTCTGATTCTGTACGTTTGCCCACTGACAAAGAAATTATCAGTCTATAATTTTAATGGTAGGTTTATTTGAACAGTGAGAGACAAAATAACAACAAAATCCAGAAAAAATGCATGTCAAAAATGTTATAAATTGATTTGCATTTTAATGAGGGAAATACATATTTGACCCCCTCTCAATCAGAAACATTTCTGGCTCCCAGGTGTTTTTTATACAGGTAACGAGCTGAGATTAGGAGCACAATCTTAAAGGGAGTGTATACCACACTGCTGTATATTCACTATACAATTACGATACTATATATTACCTTATGAATTATGTTACACATTACACTGTTATACTATTTATTATTATACAACATGCTATAAACCATACCATTGACCGTCGTGTGAAAGGTATTAAGAGGCAGTGCCAGCGAATGGACTGCGGTCTGAAAGTCATCGTAAAATACAATCAATCAATAACCGAAATAGTTTATAACGTCTTTCCAATGGTTACTAAGCCAGAATCAATCTTCTCGGTTGAAATTGTCTCTGTGTTTGTATATGTGGATGGCCTCATAAACGAATTTCTCATGGTAGCTGGA